GGGGGGGGGGGGGGGGGGGGTCTGAATTGAGCGATCAATTATTAGACCCGGACGTCCCAACACTTGCTTCGCAAGACAAACTCAAGGTATCCCCTAAAGGGCTACCTTTCGTGAACTGATGAATGCATCATCGCACATCATGGCAATTTCACACACTTCCTTCGGAATAACAGCCTTCCAAGCCAACATCCCATCCTTCGCTCCACACAGACAGCACCAAGTCGCATAAACATGGACTGCCGCGGGCCCTCGCGCGCGGCGGTCTCGGGTGCTCTTTCAGGGCTTCCCCAGCTCTCCTGCATGTGAGCCACGCTGGGAAAAAAAGATAGCCACACTCTTGGAAAGAATCACTGACTCCTTCAGTTTCCCTCGAAAATACAGGTAAACCTTTTTCTACCTGTTCCTGTTTCGTGGGGGGAACCACTCCGCCAAAAAAAATATCAAGGATATTAAAGGTTCTCCACTGACTGGGTAATCCTGGAAGTGGCACTGGACGTTGGGGGACCATCCGTTGGGGGACCATCTTCAGAAGACCAAACAGGTGGTGAACTTACATTTGTTCACTCCATGTCCATGAAATCTGAGGTTTGGCAGGGAGGAAAGGCTCAACGCGCCGCGCATCCTTCTCAAGACGGGCCTGATGCCTCCGTGTCCGGACACGTTGCCCTCAAAGAGGATGTGAAATGCCTAGAGATGCAACTCTTTGAAGTTGCCATGTCGGAAGCCTTCTAACCCTCATAGATGTGTAATTACACTAAGTAACTAGAATAATATAGTATCATATAGTATCCATGGTTAAATTAGACGTCATTCATTCATAGAACCCAAGTGGCATTCATACCCAAACGGCGCAGCGTATCCGTGGGACCCATCTCTGTCCATCTCCTGCTTCTTGCTGGGCCCCAAGTCCAGCTTCCGCACCGTCACCGCCGGAAGCACGTCCGTCAGCCTCGGAAGGTCCGTCGCTTCCGGTGAACATCAGTGGATGGTCCGAAGTCTTTGCGGTCCGAAGTGTCTGTGGATGTCAAAGGATATACAACGGCACTGCATCAACTTCTTGGGGTGGGTGGAGCACTGTTTTGCACCCATAAATGTGAATATCAATGAATATCACAACATTCTAGCAGTGGATTGGGGCGGACAAGGTGCAATCGTCTTTGATGTCCATCAACTCCTTTAGATTCCAAGGAAGATCATGCGTGTTTTTCTCATAACCAGTCTCCAACCCAACACACGCACACACATAAGCCAAGGATTCGTGATCATGTTTGGATGTAGCGTACCCCGTCGACCGTTCCGTGGATGGTCCTACCCCATCAAACGGCTCCGTTGATCTCCTCCCACCCCCAAGCGACTGAGCATGCCGACCCCCTCGGCGACCGAGGCCAGCAGTAGCACGGTGAGGGGTCGAGGGCTTGTTCTCCGACATATTAATATACAACAAACAAAGGACTCCAAAAGTGGGCAAAGGCAGCTGAGACCATTGAGATTGATGACCCTTCGAACATCCACCAACAAGTGTGAGTTACACGAACTGGCAGTTGAAAAGCATGCATCTGAACTGGCATGGGTTCCCTCCTGCAATCTAGAAACACTTCCGTGTCCTCGACTGGGAAGTCTTCATCTGGCAAGGCGTGTCAAATTCGGGCGCGTGGCAGCATCTCAGGATAGGGTCGTTCAGTGGTTCAGGGCTGGCCCGATGAATCCCTGAGGAAGAACATCAACATACAGTGGTTTCAGAGCAGATGGCACAAACCCCAAGAGGTCTTTTAAACGGGAGTTCATATGAACCATCTTTTTGGGATTGTGCCATCTACTTTTGAAACCACTAATTATACATCAACTAACCTTTTTAGTCCACTTCTTGCACCGCCTTGGGCATGCCAAAATTTGCATCAAATGTTCTTTGGCATTAGGTGGCGTTTGCAATCTCCAACGGAAACAAAAGTGAGAAACGTGACGACCTGAATTCCATGTGGTGGTCGCGCATTCAGGCACTTTGGCTTTGGCATCGACTGTCACTATATACACTGCTTTGAAAGCCAAAATGAGTTCAATACTGCATAAATAAACCTCTTGCGCAACTGAGAAAATTGTTTCCGTCATGGGAGGAGTCATTGTGAGTCTATGTTTGCTGCATTCGCCCTAAAAGAGCAAATGCTGGTTGATGAAAAGAGCGCCAAAACCTGCAAGGGAAGTTGAACGTGCATTCTGACAATTTCAAACACAGCATGATGATCAAACGATATCAATCATGTATATCCTCCAACTTCGTTGGACAGATCGTCTGAAACCCTGTGGAGAGAAGATGAGAGAAGTGACGAGGGGCTTGTGGAGGTTGCAAATCATCGCAGAACTGACGTCATGGGAATGTCACATTGGGAAAGGAACTGGACATTCTTCTCTAAAATCAACTGCTTTTCGCCAAACCAACACATTCTTGCCACGCTCATTGGACCCAGCGTCCGCGGCGCCGTTGAGAGTTGAGCTCTCTCCCAAAGTCTTCTCAAACGAGTCTCAAACAAGTTATGTAGACTCGTGATCAAATAAAACAACAAACATCAACACACATTGATTGTAACACCTCTTGAGGTTCGGTGGGGTTGGAAATATGATCCAGAATCTACAACTCATCTCTGGTTACTTCCCTCCCGGGAGCTTCCCGTGGCCGGTCGCCTATCTTGGGGACACTTAAGGGATGCTCCTTCTCCTCCTGCGCGGCGGTGAAGGAAAATCCCTAAAGGGACCAAAAGAAGCTGTCTCCAAAGCTTCCAAAAAGGAGTCAGACGCTTCCTGTCTGGGTGTCCAATGGTGACCTATAAGCAGTGTGGGGTTGCCCATTGGTAACCCCTTGGAAGCAGCTGGAAGAGTCAAACTTGTCAAGCTTGTCCACGATTTGATCAACAAAAGCAGAATATCCTATAGGCTCATGTGCTTGTTGGATCGTCACAGGAACCTCCGCCTCGAAACTGTCAAGCTTGTTGACCCAACAAAGGGAATGGAAAGCTTTAAAAAAGACATCACCATCGCACGAAGTGCAAGGACCTTCTTCTGTTCAGGCGGAGGGTCAAGGGCAAAAGTTGGGACACACAACCCAAGAGACCAGCCAAGCAATGCAGCAAGCCGAGGTATTCGACACTAAGACTGAGAGGTCAACCTGCATGGCCAACCACCAAGTGACATGCCCAAATTCAATTTCCACACTGTGCACTCTCAGGGCCACACACATGGTCAATGGTTCATCCCACTTTTGGCACTTTTGGATTTCTCGCGGTTCCCATGACTTTTGTATGATTCGAATAGACTAGAATCGACTCAACAGTCCCTGCAGTTTCTCTTCCTAACATATCCCAACCCCACAGTACCAGTGCTAATGTGATATGAACTCTATGAACCCACTCCCAGGGAGTCCCAGGATGTCCCAGGCCTATACTCCTCACCCCAACCCCTACCCCCAACCCCCCCCATGATCGCATGCCGGCCGCTGTCCCGCTGTCCCGCGTCACCCAAACCCCCGGAACCGGCGAACTGGCCGGGAGGGCGGTCCGAAGGTCTCTTGTTGCTCTTCACCGGGTTCCAAGGATTGACCTCCTCTTGCCTCCCCCGTTCGCTGGGCCCGAGCCACAGAATGAGCCCGGCATGGGACCGGAAGGAGGGAGGGAGCCGGTGGAGCACGCCGGTTCTGAAGGTGTTGGGTGCGTGCGTTAGACGCGTGCGACTTGCTTGCAGTGGGATTGCTTGGTGTTTTTCTTCGTATGACCTGTCTTCTTTACGTGGCACGCCGATGCCAGGGCCAACCGACGACCCGCAACCGAAAATGGCAGCCAATGCCCCGAAGACTAGAACCATCAGCATATATGTACGCTCTTGGGAAACGATGGGCCCAACACAACCAAACCCTTTTGCGAGTCCCTTCAGGATTCTGGGCATGATGATCTAATTGAATAATTGGTCATCAAGGGTTGGTCTGACTTCGACCCTCTGGCGATCCTAAATGGTTTGATCATGTTTGATCCTAAAAGTGGTAGCAAGGACATGGGGCAAACAAATCAGTGTCCATCGGACTCACCATCTGAAAGTAAGTTGTTTCTAAGTTTCTATTGTCAGTAGATTGCATTCTGCTTGCTCTTGCCTTGCCACCAATGGTTGACTGTGCCACGAGTGTGGGTCCAATCATTCACTGAATTCCTGGTCCACCATTCATTGGCAAGGCTTTCTACGGAAGAACCCTTTGTTGTGCTGAGGATTTCAGACGACAAAGCCAGGCCAAGCCTTGTCTAAATGGTCGAACAAAAAGGCCATAGATGGCTATAGCCATTTTATATATAGTAATGCTATATATAAATATATGCTACTTTGGGATGGTTTGGGATGGTTTGGGTATGTTTGTGTGATTTTGTGTGATTGTGTGTCTGTGTATGTCTCACTTTGGCCAACAAATCAGGGATGTAACATGATGCCCCGCTTCCCCTACATATGGACCTCCAAAGCCCTGCACCGCATCCGTTCAGGCTGGACATCAAGCCCATGGATGTGCCGGAGCTCCAAAAACGGAGAAGGCCATGGATTCGATTGTGTCATCCCGAGCATTGCATATGCGTGGATGCTTGAGCAAAGTGATTTGAAACAACGGGGGCTCATATGTACTTCCAATCCAGCAAAGGGCTGATCCTAACTTAAGTGGGAGTCATAAAAACAAACCAATGACAAGCTGACCTACCCAACCCACGAAGCAGAACCACCCTGGAATAAACCGAACAATTCCATCCATTTCCCACATCCAGAAAAAACGTGCCAATCCTACTCAGCCACACACACGATCCACGAGACTTCGTGCCCCACGCGCCACACCGGGCGGACACTCCGCCTCTTGGGAGGCGTGAGCATCTTCGAGAGCCGCGGCGCATTGGGCGACTCCTGCCCAAACCAGCGGGCGGACGGGTGGGTGGGTGGGGCTCCGGGAAAGGCGGATGGATCGCGCTGGGAAAGCCTGTGGGGAGGTGGATGGAGTGCAGATTGCCTGCTGCGGATTTCACTCCAGAAGGACGAGGCTGGAAAGATTGTTAGGGGCTGGAAAACTCTTTCTTAGCACCCTGAGCTACCAATAGGGGAAGGACCCTCATCGCCAGATCCAACTCAAGGGCCCTCATCACTAAGCCATCCCACTGACCACGCGAACCGACCGCCGTGCTCGCGCGTCACGCCCAAACGAGACCCATTAAAAAGCCAGCGGCATATGAAGGGAGCAGGTCCAGCTCTGCTGGGAAGCAATCAACAAATACCGTGGGCCCCCTAATTGAATAGCTCCTTAGAGTTTAAGGGCCCTGGTATGAGCAGCTCCACTGATTGGACACCATCTTTACGACCTTGTCACCCCGCACCGCACCGCGCGTTTCCCTGGTCGGCCCGTCGGCCCTGCGAAGTACTCCGCGCCTTCACCAGGCGCTCCAAGCTGCGCGTCTGTTGGTCCAGCAACTGCTGCAGGTCATTGCGCAAGGTCTCCCGCAGCTGCTGGAGATCCTGACCGAGCGGCGGAGACGTGCACGGTGGTGTAACACTGAAGGGAACATGAATGGAATTGAGAGATGGCGGAAGGAACATGCTGCTGAGTGGTTTTTTGAGGTGTTGGGTGACGGGAGGTGACTATCAACTGAGACTGTGTTCGATATTGCCCCAAGTACCACAAAGTTGTTCTGGGATGGGATGCAAACAACGTATACCTCGAAGATTTCAAGAGGTATATGCACTGAGTGTTGCTGGCTTGTAGATCATCATTGCAATGACAACCATTGTTCGACGAACATGATCAATTGCAGTCACAGATCTGGTCGAGTCATGTTGCCACTACGTGATCAGTCTGTCCTTCTGAGACAGGAGTGGATCCGCCATGGCAAGCGTCTTCAACGAAGCCGCTAACGATTTGCCGCACCGGTGGACAGCGCACGGGTGGGGTCAAAGCAAGCAAAGCGGGGACCGTGGCTTTGTTGTGCTTGCATCTCTGTGGACTTGGCTGCCAGTTTTGATAACATAATGTTTTGATGCCTCTGTTGACTTCGCATGTGTGGCAGGTCAAGGAAAACTCCCTGGCATAGTGATCCCTTATTTGAGCAACATGGCTGTTTCAAGCCAAGCAAGCTAGGCCAATCGACATGAAATCCACAGAGTAGCTCTCTCTTTTTCAGCTGTGAGTCAAGTTGACCCAAACATACCCAAACCCAGCACACATCGTCCGACAAACAAGCAAAAACATTAGGAGCTCTTTTTGACTCTTTAGTGACCTCGCTCTCGCGGCTTTAATTCTGCAAGGGTCAGCTGCTCTTCCATCGTGTGTTGTGCAGCATCCCTGGCTTTGTCGGCATGGCTCCTCTTGCTCCTCTTTCAGCCTCTCCTGCTCTTCAGTGGCACGTCTTTCTCTTTCTCAAAGCGTTTGTATTTAGCTTCTGCACTGGCTAATTCTGTGCTCTCTTCTCCTCCTCCTCTACTGCCTTGAGGCGCCACTCTTCCATCTGTTCTGCAACCTCCCTTCTTTGTCTTCCTCTAGAGCTGACGCAGCCTCTGCTCTTCTTTTCGCCAATCCTCTTCCTCTCTTGTTCTTCAGCGACCCGTCTGTCCTCTTCCTCTGCTCGATCCACGCGTCTTTCGTTCGGACGGTGGTCCGGGTCCGCTTTCAGCCCGAGGAGAAGGACGACCCTCCCTCCAACAGACATGGAAGTAGTTCATTTGAAGATGGTGCCGAGAGGAAGACTGTTTTCCATTGTTTTCCTCTCTAACTGGGAGGGGTTTTCCACTTCCATGATTGCTTCAGGGAGGGCATTCCAGTGGACCATCGAGACTGCGGTCCAGAGTCTGACGTGTATGGTTCAAGCCGAGAATGCTCCTGAACTATTCCGATCACACGATGCGCATGGATAGGACGAACAGGACGGAACCAGGCTCCACCTCATGCAGGTGCTTCTCGTAGCTTCTCTCAATGGCACAGCAGCACGCACGCACCCCCTCGGCTTCGGGACTCTGTATCCGTCCTTTGCGGTTGTTCTGCGGGTCTCCATCCAAGGAGGTGTGTAGATACAGCTTGTGTGATATCTGTACATATCTGTACTACATTGTACTACCAAGGCTCTTGAATCAGCTTGGACCTCCCTCATCCTTCGATCTGTCCATCTTCTCCAACTCGGCACCGCCACTGCGACGTTGCCCTGCAACATCGATGGGAGTCGAGTGTCGCGAGGCGCGAGGAGCGAGGCGGTGTGGGAGTCGCGAGCAAGGGAAGTACCCTAGACCTCCGGTCGTACCGAACCTGAGGAGGTGGGACTGGGGTGGGTGCCATTGTCGGGTCCAGTCATACCGAACCTGAGGAGGTGCGACGAAGTCGGTGTAGGGGTCATCGACCCATAGAACCGCCCATGGCACCTAACAAACATGACATCGCCATCGCATGACACAATCGCAACAAGACATCAAATATGGCTCAGCTTCACATTGGATCCGCTTTCAAAGGACAGCTGATGTTTCTTGCTACAGAACACTGGTGGACAAGCTCAACGAGTTTCCAACAAGTGAGCGGTAGTTAGATCCGTGGTAGATCATGCTTTGGATGACAACCCCTCTGTTGCCGATCGATGTATTTCGACAGATGTTTCCAAACTGTCCAATGTCTTAAATTACTAAACTCATGATTCCCATGTCGATGGTTACAGCTACCTGACAGTCGCCTCCACCAACATACACAAATGCTCGCACAAAAAGTGATGTCACCTGGCAGTAGTTCTACACCCCGTACTTGCACCCCAACCACACCTCCGGGCCTTCTTCAGCGACCTGCGCACTGCCCGCTGCGCACTCTGGCTCACCTGCGGCGAAACGGGCGTCAAGCCCGGCGACGGCGACGAAGCGGTCCTGAAATCGACCGAAGCAAATGTCCCTTCCGAACGAGTCTCCTGGTCTTTCGATTGGGAAATGTGTGAAAACGAGATTGTAAAAACACGTCATGACTCTTTCATGATGTCAACATCAAACAATTTATGGACAAACATCGTGCGACAAAACATATTAGCAAAGTGCTTTCGGGGAGGCCCAGTACAACAGAGTCACCCGACTTGGGGGTAAGCCAATCCCATGATGGATGCTCCAGGCACAGGATAGGCACGTAGAAATGACGTGTGCCCCACTCATGCAACTGATTCCACCTTTTTGCAATATACCCAAACACGACCTGTCTGGGACTGCCATAGGACTGCCGAGAAACGGCCAGGGATGGTGCCGGGGGGCCAATGGGGCGGCAAATGCTCCATATACACGGAGTGTCTGGGATATAATTAGTCGGTGTGGATTGGAATCAAGTGGATTGGATTTTCGTCATCCATCCAGTCCATGCTCACCAACTAACCGGCTCCCCCCCCCAACAAACATCCTGACCCGCGGGGGTCCGAACGGCTAGTCATCCGGATTCTATCCAGGCCAACGAAGTCACAACGCTTTGATCTTCCCGAAGAGCTCCAGCCCCCGCGCGATGGAGTTCCGCCGGCGTGCGGCCAAGCCCAGCAAGAGCACTGACAGAAGCACCTCGCGAGCGCCGGCGTGCGGAGTCTCGGTGAACAAGTGGAATGAACACCCTCCCGCAATTCATCATACCAGGACCCCCAGGAGTTGGGTGGTAGACATGGACACCCCTTGCCTCACAGAAAGTTGGGGCTATAAATAGACACCCCGACAGGAGGGTCCTGGTATGTCTCCCTTATGATAGATAGTCATAAAGAACATCCGTGTTCTGGGCAACCTGCTAGTTTGGGGGTGGGTCTTCTAAGCCTGCTTCACTCATCTTGCCTCTACAAATATGGAGGATTTTACGGACTTTATGATGTTGGTTGGATGGTAGGCTGTCAGAACTTGCGTAGCGCAACTCTCAAAGAGTTCTGGGCACCCCCACCCCAGTGGGACTGGAGCCAACGACAACAAGCATGTAACCGAGATGGGGTTAAATGGCTATTGTGAAACATCTCCCCCCCCATACCAGCTAGGAAAGCCTTTTTCGGAGCTTGTTGAAAGCCTGCCTTAGCCTGAAAACCGGCTTTGAACTGGCACAGGGGTGAGGGCAGGCCCTGTGCCAAGGTTTCACGATCAACATGATATGAACTTGTTCTACAGTTCACCAAATCGGATTTGTTGTGATGTTTCTCCTGTCACCCTTGATGCAATCCAAACTGGTCATTGATCCCATGAAACTTGTTGATGTTGAGCCAAGGCAGCAGGAAGAAATACGACCATGTAACTAAGGTGCAACGGTCACCGATCGAAATGGCTTCTTCTCGGGGAAGGCTTGCAGGTTCAGTCCAACAAGCGTCCAAAGGTCCATAGGACTGGTGACTAGTGTAGAATCGTTTGAGTTCTTTGTTATTGATCACCTCCCCCATACCCTCCAATTTGGATTGTACCCCTTGAGGTCTGGATAGGGGGGTATGGGGGATATCTATCGACATTAGTCCTATCTGGGTATGGGGGGTATGGGGTATAGGTGCCCATCTAATCAAGATTCTACATTAGATGCCTATCGAGTCTGGCAGGTGGCAAGGGGTAGTCAGAACGCAACCGCCAACCGAACGCCACGCAACCCCCACGCCCCCCGTGTCCACGCGGCCTTGGCCAGTGTGAGGATCAGTGCCAGCAAGAGGTACAGCAGGACACCTGGGCCCTGGCGATGCAGGACACCATTGGTTGCGGAAACTCGAAAGATCCCTGAAACCCTTCACAAACCCTATGGATCCAAGTACCTTCTCAGAAGGTACTTGGACAAACCTACATAGCGGTGTCCCCAATCACCTGCTGAGAAGGTACTTGGATCCCTAGGGAAAGGAGATGCTGGGTTTCGCCCAGCGCCCGGTTTCACCGCACGGCTTCGCGCCGCAGATCTAGGGAGGTTATGGATGTGCCTATGAAGTCCTTCAGTGGGCTCGATGTCACGAAATATGGAAATGGATGGCATGGCATGGGATTTCTGGGAGAATTGGTTTCCAATATAAGCTAATATATGGTTGTCCACTTTCACGTTGGCCAGCTCAGTCTTGTGAAATCCTCCTCAAGTTGCTGGCGTGAATGGCGTCGGAAGTCTCTAACAGTGTGAGCAGGCCCGGTGAGGATATGACACTCAGGATCTGACTCCCTCAGATGTCCTTTTTCCGCCTATGTATGTTTTGTGGGGAAACTAATTCTTAAAAGCATGCTCTTAAGATCTTTTAAAGGGAGGGGATGTAAAGCTCACCGTGTACATGTCACAAAGCCATACAAAGCCTAGGCGAAATCACACTGTTGGTGACTGCCAGTCAACCTGGGCAGCCACCACCCCAACATCGCAACACTCATGATCATCTATGATCATCTACATCACCCCATGATTTGGAGATTGGGAACCACTAAAAACCATCTAAAAACACCGCCCCTCTTTCAGACCACCCTAAGTCCCTAAGCCAAACCAATCCCAAAGGCTCCCCGCTTCGCCGGCCTGGCAGGCGAGGTTCGCGTGCAACAGGTGCGACAGCACCAGCGTGGAGAGCGGCAAGCCGCTGAAGCCGATTCGCCGCGCCACCACGTGGCTGAAAGATTGGACGCCTCCGTGGCAAAGGGACTGGTGCTGGAAATGTCTAAGTGCAAACATTTGGACCCTCCTTGGATGATATACATGATAGGATTGAAATTCCAGGGCTCATCTTGTGGGTCCCAGATGGTTCGGATGCTCTCTTCCACCTATCCTGGGCAGTTCTCACAGTGGCGTTTGACGCAAAATGCATCATGGACGCCACTATCAGCGAGAATATATATACAGACTATACAAAAGAATCCAAAAAAATTGTTTCGGTACCAATCAGAACTGGAATCATTGCACATAGGAGAGAAAGAATTACTCTTCTCCAAATCCATGTGCCATAAACAGAACTCTGTGCATGTCTAGCCATAGCAAGTGCGTTGGAAAAAGGTTGAACATCCTTAAGGATCCATCGAGAACAGCCCTACCAGGGTCCCCCCTGCTTGGGGTGGTGAATGGACATCCCGAATCACCTCTAAGGAGGTGATTATTAGACATCCCTGGCCGCCCTGGTAGAGTTTCCCCTAGTCTTGTAGGGGGGATTATTCGGACACCGCCTTAGAACCCCTTCGCCCCCACGAACCGCGAACCACACACTTCCGCCTCGGAAGGGCATACAGGGCAGGCTGGGCGGTCTGGCGTCTCGTGCGGTGTGAGGCATGCGACACACCAAGAGGTCGGCGATGAGCACCTCGACCGCTCCGCCGTTTGGGGGGTCGAGACGTGGGCGACGTGTGACGTGTGGCGTGGTTTTCTCCATGGTTTTCTCCATGGAATGAGGGAAGAAACTCATCTCAAAACTTCCCCCCCCCCCCAACCCAGGACCTTCGGACCTTTGAAGTGGCCTTGCTTCAGGATTTGTAGGTGTACCTTTTCAAGACTGAAGCGACCTCATTCTGGGATCTCAGAAGGTCACTGAGAAGGTCCTGGAACTTGGCACTTGAAGAATCCTCAGGGAACCCTGTGACTTGGAACATGGAAATCCTTCAACACCATAAGTGATCCAAACGTGAAATCATCTGGATCTAGGTCCAAGGGATTTCTCTTTTGTTGTGGGTCACGTCTCCGAGCTGGCCTGTCTACGTCGCGACTGCCGGAGAGACCCAGGCCCTCAGGGCAGGGTCTAAGTCTGCAACTTGATTTTCTTAAGGAAACGAAAAGAAATGCAAACACCAATGAACACATAATCCCAAGATTCCCCAGGATGGGGGGTCTGGACCTCAGGATCCCACAGGGAAAAATCAGAATCGCCTTGAGCAAACCAGGACCATCGTTGATTCACCGTGCCTGCTGGTAATTCTCGAGCACCGACACTGGCAACTCGCTGAACTTCATGATCCTCGGCTCAAGGCTCCAGGCGTCGGCGTAGCGTCGGGGCGCGGTGAAGTGGCGGAAGTGTTGATCAAACCTTCTCATAGGGGGGATTCAGCCCCACAGAGCTCAACCCCACATACACCTTCGCATATATAGCTCCTGGCGGAAGTGTGGGTTTCAAGGAGCCATGAGAAGGAGACCAGACCTGTGTGGTCACCAGACCTGTGCGGTCCGACGCCGTGCGGATCTGCAGCGCAGGGTGGTGGCTTCAGGCGCTTCAGGAGACCAGACCCGATAAGAGTGGTAGGGGAACCTGCACTGGAGGCGTCCAAATGGGCAGGTAGCGAGCTGAAACGTAAGGCACAGTGTACACGCACGATGTTCATGAGTTCAACGGCTATGTAATGAAGAAACCGCCAGAAAGCCCACAACGGATCCTGTGAGAAAGAAACATGCCACCGTTGGGCAACGCCCATCGAGAAAAAGGAGGCACTGGCCATGAGTGGCCATGAGTGGCCGGTCGGCCCCCCCCTTTTGAGCGGAGAGAAACATCTTTGGGCTGAAATTCATCTGCCCTCCTCAGCTTTCCTCGGGTTGTGTTGCAGGGCTACTCCGAGTTTGGGATCTTGATGCTTAATCAGAATCATAACAATACTGACATTGGCTTGTCATACCTTATCAATTGGAACATGTATGTTCACCATCCCATCCATCCTAAACCATCCCACCCCGGATTTTTGCCCAGGCACAAGCAGAACTTCACCCAGTCTGTACCCAGCTCAATACCCACCTCAAATGAACAGCAACACACGCGCACCATGTGCGAGACACATGAAAGTCCTCTCTCTCTCTCTCTCCCCACGCACGAGGATGCTGAATAATTACTTCGGACTGCATCCTCATGCCACCACGCCATGTTCTTCAAACCATCCTCAACCACCTTCCACCTTTCCGGTCCTATCACTCATCCCACCCTTCCGAGTCATTTCGACTCTCCAGGAGCCTTTCCCCCTTCCAACCGACTCCACCCCCCCCCCCCCGGGGGACCGAACGACCCGACCGACCCGACCGACCCCTACCGCCGACCTAGGCGCCAGCAGCAGGAGCCAACTGGTGATCTGCACCGCAGACGCCAAGCCTCTTCGGTCCGAGGTGGCCAGGCGCAGCAAGACGAAGAGGATGTCCTGCGATGCGACGTAACGACGCGAAGGGAGAGGATGAGGAAAAAGCAGCGAGGGAGCGATTCGCGAAGCGAGTCTCGGCTGAAGGCTGAAGCGAGTCGTAGGGATCTGCGCCGCGATCTCTTCTATCACATATATTCACATATGATAGTAGTGTTCAATCATCATGGGCCAACGTGGATGGCATGGCCCTGAATGGATGACCATGCAATCCGACTACCAATCAGTGAGGTGAATTCTACCTCCATTATCTTCCATACCCTTTTTCAGGGAGCGTGCCTGCGGGGATGCTTGTACACCACAAAAGGCTGCAGTCGGACTTGGGGGATGCTGAGGGATGCTGCATGGGTGACCAATGGTTCTTCTTTGACGATTATTGAACACCTTGTGTCACGTCCACCCCCTGACAGTGCACTTGGGGAAGCAACCCTGACAATGCTTTTTGCTGCGAAGCACCAGCGCCAAGTAGAATCGTTCCACCATGTCAGAGGTGATGATCGGAAACAGCGACTTGACCTGATGCCGTCGATACCGTCAGGAAGAGCTGTTTTGCCTCATCGTCAGCGGGTACAGTAATTGATTCATACCGATTCATACCAATTGAGGATTGTAAAGCTTCTTCATCTTGATGATGTTTTTTTGTAATCAAAAAGGTACATTCTGAACTAGAAGTAAGCATTCAAGGTGGTTCATCTCTTGCAAACGTCTGGCTCAAGGACGATCTCAAAAAGAGTTCTGCTCAACCTTTCTCCATCCGAAGCAGTGAGCCTGAAAGGCTTGGTTTTATACTTCATCCAAACACGTCACCAATCATAAATTACAATTCAAAATGTTGCAAAGGGTTAATTTCCTTTGACCTAATAGCCATCCTAAGCCAACACTCATCTAAGGCTTTTTTCGCACAGGCTTGGATCTGTTTGTGTTCAACATCTTCAGCTCTTGTAAGAAATCTGGTGGTCAGAGTAGGAGGACTGCAAATATGCTCCCCGTCCCCGGAGAAAAGAACACAAAACACAAAACAATTCCCTAGAAATCCATCACAATCATAAGCGGTCCCCCTACCGAAAAAGGAAACAGCTCCCTAGAAATCCATAAGCATCATCACCGGTCAACACCCTCCAGAAAGGATTCATCATCTTCCCAACACACCCTCCGTCGCTCAGTCTTAGCGCCTCGTAGCGCTTGAAGACCGTCGACTTGATCTCGGCGAAGTTGTTCGTGACGATGATGAGGAAGACCGCGCTCCTCAAGAAAAAACAGATCAGATTGGATCCTCCTCTGATCATTTTTGGATCAACAAAACAAACTTGGATCCACCAATTTGAGGATGAGTATGTCGGATTTGGATGGATTTGGTGGATCCAACTTGATCCAATCATTCATTATATTATACGATTGTACTCTATCACCTCAAGAGCTTTTGAGATGTTTCGGAGGGTTGTTTCGACATAGGGGTGATCGAATCTGATACAATGTAAAGCACTACATATCACTATAAGTAGACATCGCATCAGTTCAATTTGAAGCACATGCGAGTGCATGGAATTTAATAATCGTCCAAACCCGGCTTTCCAACAATTTCTCGGTTTGCCATAATACTCAATGAGCAAGCTGACACCAGCACCTGCTAATTTGACACGCAAAAATGTTCCCACCAAAAACGGCAAAATTGATAGGTATATAGGCGATAAGCCCTCCCTCAAGTATTGGGTAGGGGAGGTGTCAACAAAATCAAGATCCAGCATTGCAAAAAGATCACAGTTTATACCTGCAAGTCCTCAAGTGAAGCTGTCAATCAAAACGAGGTAGTTGTAAGGGTTTAGCTCCAGCAAATGGGTCTTTTTCAACCTCTTGTGCAAATCAAGCTCGTGCCTCCTGCACTCAAATCTCTTGTGGTGCGTCAATGGCTTCACTTGGCCTGAGCACTCGTCCCGAAACGGTGCCAGGAACCTGCCGCTGGCCCACGCACTGAGCTGTTGGGAATCAGACAATCAATGAAATCTGAACCCAGCGCGTGGTCAATAACCACACAAACCTTGTCCATGCTTCTATGACACAAGGAAACTACGCAAACACCACACGAACATACACAAACCAAATGCTTCTGCAACGTCCGGCATAGATGTGGCCCCCACACGTGGTGCAAGGGATCTACCACGCCGTGGCCCAACATCTAAGTGTTTCATGTCAAATCAGGACAGGCGCGGTCTGCCGGCAAATTTTAGCTCCAGCACTTCAGGCGCTACATCCTTCAATTCTGAAATGCCCAACTGCATTGGGAAAAGTCTAGTGTATTCATCTGTTTGGTTTTGCCTTGGACTTCGGCAATCAGTGCTGGCACGACCTTCAGCACCTGTGGAGCAACATCCTTCAACTG